TTATTGAAGATATTGAACACTTATAATTAAAATATTCAGTTGAATTGAAAACCTCATTTTTGAAGTCTATGAAAATATTAACTATCTTTGAACATACTTATTTTATACTAGCTGAGACCCGCGGTGTTACCCGCGTTTGTTGTTATAACAGCGGGCAACGCCGCGGGGCGAAGCTAGTCTAAAAAAACGTAGCCTAAGTTACTTCTTATGTCATCAGCTATCTGCTAGTGAAAGTCCCGTCGAAATCGGTCCAGCCGTTCCAGAGATTACCCGGAACAAACAGACAGACAGACAGACAAAAATTGTAAAAAATGTTATTTTGGTATATGTACCGCGTAAACATGCATATGCATTTAGTAAAAAGCGGTTATTTTAATATTACAAACAGACACTCCAGTTTTATTTATTTGTATAGAGTATAGATAAAAGTGAGTCTGTTTTAATCTAAACCACTAAACTAATTTAAAAAATTCTTTCACAAATGAAAAGCTACGTTTTCAATGGCGACTGCACGGATGGCGTAGTGGTTTAAGCGGTCGCCACGCCGCTTCCTACTACGCCGAGTGTTGTGGCTTCAAACCCCACATGGGACGACACTTTGTGTGATCCATAAATTGTTGTTCTGAGTCTGGGTGTTCTTTGTGTCCGTTTCATGTATGTTTGTAAAGTCCCCCGCGACACAGGATATTTTCCTAATGCGGGAGTTGTCTTTTTTAACCAAAAAAAAAAAAAAAAAATGAGTAACATAGGCTACTTATTACCACGAAAACCGATAAACACGCGGGCGACGCTTAATTCGTGATAATCGCTTCGTTATACGTAAAATAAATTCCACTAAGCAGAAACAATTGCTAAGCGCGGCTGATTAAATACCCACGTGCGTTGACGTAGCTATTACAAATGGAATTTATGTTGATAATTATCTCTTTCATTCATTGTTTTGTAAGAGAAGTTGCATCTAGTACTGGATCTTTCTCCAGAAGATTTTAAATAAACATATATTAAAAGGATTATGTTGTGAGTTTGATCTTTCTATTTTTTTTCAATACTTAATACTTTATTGTACACGATACTGTGACTGAGATGGTACATTCAGTTTTACGGTGAGTTATAGACACCGTTTATTTTTAAAATGTATTTTAGTTTCAATTAAAACTACCCCAGAATGTGCCTGTAATTGTATTTATCTTAACTATAATGTTTCTGATATCTGACACACAACGCCATCTAGTTTCAAACTAAGCAGAGCTTGTACTATGAAAACTAGGTTAACTGATAGAATACTTATATAATATTTTTTTGTAAATACATATATATTACACATACAAAACGCCCTAATTTTGAAACAAATATTTACAGATCATACAAACAATTGGTCGGGCCCTGGGACCGAACCCAAGACAATGCAATGAAGCAATATGTAATATTATAAAGGCTTTTATATGATTTCTTTATATATCCGGCCGCCTGCCTACGCACAACCTCACAACTACTACACACTAGAAAATGAACTCACAACTACTACACACTAGACCAACAGCCCAGTTACCAGAATGCAAATTGAGGAAGGGAAAATGGAGAGGCCGAGAGAGTTAGAGAGAGGGATATCGGGATCGTGAAATGGGAAACAGGACTGAGACTGGAGTAGTTTGAAGGGTGGTGACTGGAAAACCGTCTATCCTGTGATTGCACAGAGCTCTAGGACAGGGGTATCATTATACCATAAATAAATTCTTCTTCTTTTTTAAAAGATAACTAAAGTGCAGTAACTATGTAAACTAATTTCGGAAGTTAATTTTAGTTTATTTCTAATTGTGACATCGAAACGAAACTTCGTATATATTTTTTTTTATTTTACTTTATTTCATTACTTAAGGCATTAGTATTTTGAGAATTAATGTGTTAAATTAAAAGCGCAACGCGTTGATGTCTTTTATATGGATTATTTTTGTTGTTGAAATTTATTGTATTATAATATATATATTTACATTTTCTGATTAGTATAATATTATTATTTTATTTTTACAACGACTCATCAGAAGCTACTTGTTAGGTGTGTATTAAAACACTAATGAAGTCATAACGCTTAGACAACCCCATTCAGCTCGGCTCGGTATATAATTAACAATACGGGAAATAATGCAATCAACAGGCATTACATACCTTTGAATTGCCATGGTCTCAGTGGTCATCAGCTGTCAGCATGAGACCACATTTAAGAGCCAGTGCCTGGTCCTAACATGGGGTCCTCAATTTGGTCGAAACATCGTCAAACAAGGATCGAGTTAAGTTTCGTAGAAATACATCATTATATATCTTACTAGCTGACCCGCGCAACTTCGTCTGCGTCTCTCAATACTAATAAATTTTCTCCGTTTTTGAAACATTCTTTATTGGTGCTCCGCGCCTATTGGTCTTAGCGTGATGATATATAGCCTATAGCCTTCCTCGATAAATGGGCTCTCTAACACTGAAAGAATTTTTCAAATCGGACCAGTAGTTCCTGAGATTAGCGCGTTCAAACAAACAAACAAACAAACTCTTCAGCTTTATAATATTAGTTAAATTATTCCTGATAAACAGAAGTTTTACCGTCAAAAATGACATGACGACCTTTATCCAGAAAAAGTTTCAATGGATTATCAGCTTGAATAACATTTTAGTATTGAATACACTTGTGAGAGAGGCATGTGGTTTGTGGAGAGCAATTCGGCACATATAACCGGTTTTAATAAAAAAAAATCAACGAGATAGTGAGTTTACCAGAATCTGAACCGAATACTTTCTCTCTTTACTTTTTTTTTTAAAGACAACTCCCACATTAGGGATATATCCTGTATCGCGGGGGACTTTACGAACATACATGAAACTTACACAAAGAAAATCCAGACTCAGAACAACAATTTGTGGATCACATCAAGAGTTGTCCCTTGTGAGGATCGAACCCACAACACTCAGCGTAGTGGTGAGCGGTGTGGCAACCGCTTAATCTAGTGAATTTAAAAAAAATACTGAGAGGGCATTCAAAGGCCACAAACGTACTTGTGACTCCTAAGTTGAAAAGTCAGGCTAAGATAATTACTTACCATCCAGGGACTCAACATTTACAGCTATAAAAACACTATTGATTTTACTTTCAAACTTATTCATTGGTAATAAAACAATGTCACAATGCCTTCAAAATTATCGTAATCAACATGTTAATTAAGCAATTCTAACATATGATGATAAAACAGGTAAACTGCGAAGGACAAGCAGTCATTATGCATAATAACCAATCAACCAACAAAAAGTTGGCTGAAGATGACTGTTGATTTAATTAAATCATTGTTAGTGACAAAACACATAATCAAAGTTTTAAATCAGTGTTGTCTATGATATAAGATATAAGCGAATTTTAGAATATATATTTCTTTAAAAAAAATATTTTTAAAATTCTAATATTTAAAAGAAATGGTGTTTATGATGATGATATGTATGATATCATCATCATAATCACCATATTTGTGATCTTTTCCAAATTTTAATTACCATCGCAATAAACTAGAACGGTGATATTAAGGAAAATTGTACAACATATTGTACCAAAATATGGACACCTACATAAAAGTATATCATTAATTTATATAACATAATTTGCAAACCCTGATTTTTTTTACTGTAAAATAAACAATAGCGGGTTTTTTCATTAAAATATTCGTTATTACTAGAATGTCCACTTGAATACGTCGAAAAAAACAGAACCGAATACCGTTCTCAAACCAGAAGAGTTCCTTAACAACGATCGACGTTAGGTTTGACAAGGTTTTCGGCCCCCGATGCCGTCTACTTAAACATATTATCAATTCTAATAATAATGACTATTATTATTTGAATTGTTTTTTTTTATCATTATTATTTTTTATTATTATTTGAATTAAAAGTTACGGCATTTATTTTTCACAAAATTTAATTGGTGTATGAAAAAATGACAAACTATGATACTCCTTTGCACAATACTTCAAGAACTCTTTTATCTGAATAAAAGAATAAAACAAGCATTAAAAATTAAACAAATGGTACCTTTACAATTTATTAAGAGTACATTACGAATTCTCACATAATAAAACAATTAACTGTTAACAAAAACATTCAATGGATACATAATTTTTACAACCGTTGACAGATATCGCTTTTGCCTTGCGGCATATTTGTACGAGAACAAGTGGAATTCTACAAGTTACACTGGTATGCCTTGAGCTTCTTCAACGAAATGTATTTCACTGACACACAGACCGCCGTTAATACCTTCTTTATGATAATTATGTAATTCACTTTATGGTGCCAATAATTTTTTTATTAATAATACAGAAGTCGGTCAGGCCAATTGTTTAAGGCGCCTGACCATATTGTCACCTTGAAAAATGTTGATGTTTGAAAAAATTGCTCAGTGGAAATATTTTCATTAATACTGTTTCGTCATCATCATCATCAACAGCCTTTAATAGTAAACTGCTGGACATAGGCCTCTCCTTGGAAAGGCGGTTTTGGCCTACTATATCACGCTGGCCAGACTTTGCAGTGCTGTTGTGCTACGTAGTTTGCTCCCTTAGTCGCCTCTTACGACACCCACGGTATGAATAGGGGTGGCGACACTCCGTATTCTTAATCCATCACCACACTGTCAGTCAGTACTGTTTATATAATTAAATCATAACTAAATACTTCTATTTCAAATGGAATATTAGGCTTGTTGGTCTGATGGTTAGCGACCCTGACTGCTAAATCAAAGGTAGTTTGTTCGTTTCTTACCCAGGACGAATCATTGTATGATGAACATGATCCGATGAAAACAAACTTTTAAAGTAATGAGAATAATTCTTTTAGGATTCTGTACGTCCGAATAATAAAACAGAGCACCCTTACAGGACTCTTAACACCAATATAACGCACTCGTAGCTCTAATGTCGTATGTGGTTTGCAAAGACATCAACTGATGTGTTCTTTTCTATCTATTCCAGAGGCTGTCACTGCATTTAGCAGTGGTCATCCTAGCGGTGTACCACACCTGCAAGGCAGATCGACCGAAGCGGGCTATTGAGTTTGGCTCGAACAGAAATTATGCGGTGCTAGGCTCACCGATATCGGCTCCTCTTGACGAGGACGGCTACTTCTACCCGAAGCCTAAGATACCATTCCCACCGCCGCCGCCGCCAACAAGACAGCCACCGCCAACAAGACCACCAGAAGTCAAGACAACTGGCTACATATACGATCGACCTAGTATTCCTTTTGAACTACCTACTACTCGGAGACCACCTCCTCCTATAACCAGACCACCTCCTCCTCCTACAACAAGACCACCACCTCCTCCTACCACCAGGCCACCACCACCTCCTACTACTAGGCCACCCCCTCCTCCTACTACCAGGCCACCACCACCTCCTACTACTAGGCCACCACCTCCTCCTACAACCAGGCCACCACCACCTCCCACCCTACGAACAACTAGACCTCCTACATTTAGCACAATACTAGACAACTTTAGAACAACAGGGTACACATATCCAACCCCAATTATTCCATTTACGTATCCAACTACAACGAGAAGACCGCCCCCTCCACCAACAACAAGACCACCGCCACCTCCTCCACCACCAACAACAAGACCACCTCCTCCTCCACCACCGCCAACAACAAGACCACCGCCACCCCCAACGACAAGACCGCCACCGCCTCCTCCCCCAAGAACAACAAGACCTCCTACATTTAGCACAATTATAGATAATTTTAGAACAACAGGGTACACATATCCAACCCCAGTAATACCCTTTACTTATCCAACTACTACTAGAAGACCTCCGCCTCCACCATTGAAACCATCAACTTATTTACCACCCCCTCCACCACCGACAACAAGACGTCCTCCACCACCACCGCCTCCAACAACAAGACCTCCACCACCACCGCGAACAACCAGACCACCTCCCCCTCCACCACCACCAACAACAAGACCCCCACCTCCACCACCTACAACAAGACCTCCACCACCACCGACAACAAGAAGGCCATCACCTCCTCCAACCCTACGAACAACCAGACCTCCCACATTTAGCACAATCATAGATAACTTTAGAACAACGGGATACACATATCCAACTCCAATTATACCATTTACATATCCAACTACAACGAGGAGACCACCCCCTCCACCAACAAAACCAGCAACATACTTACCACCACCTCCACCATCAACAAGACCACCGCCACCACCTCCGCCACCAACAACTAGACCACCTCCCCCACCACCACCGCCAACAACAAGACGAACGCCGCCACCACCGCCACCAACGACAACTAGAAGACCTCCACCACCGCCACCACCGACAACAAGAAGACCTCCAGTCACAAGACCACCACCCACTTACAGTACTATAATAGATAATTTTAGAACTACTGGTTATACATATCCCACTCCAATAGTTCCTTTTACATACCCAACAACTACGAGGCGGCCACCACCTCCACCCACCACAACGAGGAGACCACCACCTCCCCCTCCCCCACGAACAACGAGACCTCCCACATATAGTACATTTTTACCCGTCACATATCAAACCACAACAAGACGACCTCCGCCACCGCCACCACCACCAACAAGAAGACCAACCTATTTACCACCACCACCACCAACTCCACCACCGACAAGACCTCCGCCACCACCACCGCCAACAACAAGACCACCTCCGCCGCCTCCACCACCAACAAGACCACCAACCTATTTACCACCACCACCACCAACTCCACCACCGACAAGACCTCCGCCACCACCACCGCCAACAACAAGACCACCTCCACCGCCTCCACCACCAACACGACCACCTACCTATTTACCGCCACCACCACCAACTCCACCGCCGACAAGGCCCCCGCCGCCACCACCACCGCCAACAACAAGACCACCTCCACCGCCTCCACCACCTACAACGAGACCACCTCCCCCACCACCCCCTCCACCTACAAGACCACCTACTTATTTACCACCACCACCACCAACTCCACCCCCAACAAGACCACCCACACCGAAAACGACAGGCTACGAATACCCTACACCAAATATACCATTCATTTTGCCTACTACTACTAGACGTCCTACACAACCCCCTATCTACATCCCTCCCCAAACAACTAGGCGACCTACACAACCCCCTATCTACATCCCTCCTCAAACAACTAGGCGACCTACACAACCCCCTATCTACATCCCTCCTCAAACAACTAGGCGACCTACACAACCCCCTGTCTATATCCCCCCTAAGACAACAATCACTGTGTTTACGACTCGACCCCCTTTTATTGAGGACAAGGGATACTTTTACGATAGACCGCTAGTTCCATTTGTCTTCTAGAGATTCTTTGTATATCTTAGACATGCTGATACACCGTCACATGAAAAATGATTTTAACATGAATTCACGAATTGTCCGTTTTGAGGGCTGCTATTGTTCTTAAATTACTTATGGTAAATTTGCCTGCTATTCCATGATAAAAAGTGCAGATATTTTATCGAATTCGTAAGTGCCATGGAAACGACAGGATGCTAGCTTGGCTTCGATTTCCCTACTCGATCATAAACTGTAGCAGATAAATTGTATTCTTCATTATTTAGTTTTCTGTGAAAAACTAAGAACAGAAGAATATGATTTATTACCACACCTACGGGTGCTTAGAAGAGGTATTTTTTTATTCAAATCTAAATGGGACCAAATGGGATGCATACTCTCAGAAATAAAAAGAATTTTCTAAATCACGAAAAAACATAAAAATTAGAACCTCCTTTAAGTCGGTTAAAAAGGAAAACATGGTAATTTATAGTATAAAAATTATAGAAACTTTGTTTAAAAGTCACTGTGCAATATATTTGTATAGTCTTGTGTTACATTTAATAAAGAAAAAATGAGTGCGGTGTAATCACATTAAGATGCCATAAAATTGTGATACCAAACCGAGTATTTGAGTACTCAAAGTCGCAATAAATTTTTGTTTGTTAGTATTTTTGTTTATGTATTAGTAACTAGTTATATGTATGTAACGGTAATACTCAATGTAAAACGCGGAATCACTGCCTTTAACTAATTCTATGTTTTAAGATTATAAAATATTTTTTTTAATAAAAATATGTGAAATTTTTTTTTTGTGTTTTATTACCTTTGATGTGTTTTTATACTATCATCATCATCAACCATTAACAGCCTTTCACAGTTCACCGGTTGAACATAGGCCTAGTAGGAGGCTTTGGCGTACTATACCACGCTGGCCAAACGTCTCGTTAAAGGGTTTTTTCAAGTTTTCCTTCTCTTTGCAGTGCTGTTGTCAGCCAGCGTGGTATAGTGGGCCAAAACTTCCTTTCTACGGAGAGGCCTATGTCCAGCAGTGGTATTTAAGGCTGTTGATGATCATGTGATGAAGTATGTACTTGAAGATTTTATTTTGAAATTGTAGGCTCAAATTTTAAGCTCGGTATTCCTATGGTTCTTTTCTGTGAGGAATTTGTGAATTTTATGGCTTCTGGGTAATGCTTTGGGTTTTATAATATACCTCACACATTTCACACAAGGCCGTCTGATCCCAAACTAGGCAGAGCCTGTGCTATGGTGACCAGACTGCTGATAAACATACTTATATATTTTTAAATACATACATATTATAGATAAATTACACCCAGACACAGAACAAATGATCATGCTCATCACACAATATTTGTCCTGGGTGGGAATCAAACCCACGACCTCCGGCTTAGCAGTCAGAGGCACTAACCACTCGACCAACAGGCCCGTCACCGTTTTTTTAGAGCGCTGTCTACTATCACTGGTAGCTTTTTAATAAAGCTAATCCTTACTTGTAGTATAAATATATGACAGTAATAAGTTGAAATATTCGAACACAGGCTCAGGTCCCAAGCTAGCCACTAAAATGGTAACAAAACTGCTGATGAACACACATACCTATATAGTACATACAAATGGTAGATAAAATTACACCCAGACATATTAATTAATCGAGTTTAGCACACAATTTTTGTTCTTGGAGGGAATCAAACCCGCAACCTCTACTCAGAAATATAATTAGCCACTAAACCAACAGGCCGGTCATAACAATAATTTCACTACTATTACTTTCTTGTTACACCTTTTGTGTCATTAATCAGAATGGAGACTAGTGAAGCGTAACAAAAATAATAACAATTCATCATCGTCCGTTTTATATGTGATCATTCCTTGAAATTTAAATTGCCACCTAATTAAGTGAAAGCATGTGTTGAAAGAAATAACTTCAATACATAGATGATGGATTACACCGCTATGTAATCCATCAATAGACAATCTTTTCCTTTCACATAAACTGCACGCTATACAATTAGATTACTCTGAACTCAAAGAGTAATGTCATTTATATGATATTTCTGTGTAGTTCCGATGTTTACTTAATATTCACGATAAATTTCGAGAATGTTAAGAAAAAATCGGGACTGTTTTGGGACGATAGCCTACCGGGTAGCATTCCCAAAAGGCAGGCTACCGAATGCCAACTTGAGATTGGATTGGAAGAAGGTAGTTTAGGGGTAAATGGATTTTTATCCATTTAGATCCAGATTCAGATAGGAGACGAAACTAGGGCAAGGGACACCACATACTTCAAATGAGCCTTACACCCTGTATAATCTAACATGACATCTTGATTTTTCTATCAAATGCGCATAATGTTTTATAGTTCTAATTTCTTTGATAAACTAAAGTCAGCGCCTGAAACAAACAATGTAGCCATTATTTTCCATTAAACATTAATATACGTTTCTAGTAAAACACTCGAAAAGTAAATCTGTCTACTAACCTCTAGGTATATTCTATTCTTCTTTAGAATAATACATACAGTACAATGATTCTTCAGCTTAGTGAGTTGTTGAGGTTGCCTCTTCTGAACAATGTAACATGAAGACCATCATATGGTCCTCAAAATAATCTTGGAAGGAGAAACAAACCTACCTCTAATGAAATGTGCCTTCTGCCTTTCTGAGTTACATCAGTCACCCTAAAAGAGCGGCACTACCGCTACGTTTTACAGGTTTTTAAACCAATGATGATGTAAATGATTATATTATAAAATGCGATTAAACGAAAATTTATTTTTTCAATAGAGCCTTTTTGATAATTGGCTCTAAGACTATCTACCAACATTTAAATTGAAAACGATTTTACTGTAGAACTTCTTATCTACTTACTTTCGGTGAACTTTTGCAAGAGTTGTCTTTTTTGAAAAAGAAAAGAAAGTATACTAATGTATTCTTTTGTTTTCTTTTAGTTTCTTAGATTTCAACTTAGTAAGGTTAACGTGACACAAACAAAGTCTCAACACTGCTCGCAAATGGGAACTGGGAAAATCTATCACAGATATTTGGTTTGATTCCCACCAAGGACAAATAATTGTTTTTTGTTTTTTTTTAACACAACACCCGCATTATGAATATGTTCTATGTCGCGAGTGACTTTACAAACATAGATGAAATGGAAACAAAGAACAAACAGACTTAGAACAACAATTTTTGGATCACAAAAAGTGTCGTACCAACTGGAGTTTGAACCAACAACGAAGCGAAGTTGAAGCGGCGTGGCGACCGCTTAAACCACAATATATTGTGTGATGAGCACGACCATTTCTTCTGCCTGGTTGTAATTTATTTATAAAATATATGTATTTAGGAATATATAAGTATGTTTATCAGCAATCTGGTTGCCATAGCACAGGCTCTGCCTAGTTTTGACCAGACTGCCGGATGTGAGAGATGTTTAAAGTTATTACTATTATTTCTAGCGAATGCGAACCATCTGCGTGTCGCATGTCATTAAACCTTACACATATGTTTTGGAGAAATCTTTTCGCTGCACTCTTCAAAATCTAATGTCAATTACAATCTTTGAACTAATAATAGCAATTGAGCTCCAGTCGTTTCGCTCGAGTTACTTCCTCGTCTCATGTGCAGATCTATCTTAATTACTAGTCACAGATACACCGGCTAATAATCAACTTTCATTTCCATTCACGCTCTTTTTAACCCAATACTGAAATTATAATTTTATTGAATATTTTTTTTACATACAAACACTACGGGCCTGTTGGTCTAGTGGTTAGTGACCCTGACTGCTACGCCAGAGGTCGTGAGTTCGATTCCCATCCAGGACAAATAATTGCGTGATGAGCACGATGCTTTGTTCTGTGTCTGGGTGTTATTTGTAATATGTATGTATTTAGAAATATATAAGTATGTTTTTCAGCAGTCTAAATACCATAGCACAGGCTCTACCTAGTTTTTAAAAAGACTGATGTGTGTGGGATGTGTGAATTTATTTTTATTATTATTCTCTTTATTTATTTTATATACATATTAACTATAGTTTTAAACATTCACTTTATAAAAAATACATATTTAAAACTATAACAAATATTAGAACACCGAACAGGGACCAAGACACCGGTGGTTAGAACTCCAAAGATAGGAACCTCCTCACTGTACGAGCCGTGTCAAGGAGGACTGCCTTCTGTATCTGACCCTTGATACAACCGATACTAATACTTTTATATTTAAAACGAGCTGTACCAGGCTACGCTTCGTTGTGGCACAATATGGTTGCATTGATGAGAAAAGAAGAACAAAACTGACGTGAAAAATAGATAAAAACAATCTTTGAAGCGGGTTGTGTATCCCGTCAAAACTTTGAGCTCAATCAGTGAAGAACTTTCTGAGTTTTTAAAGCATACACAAAGAAACTTAACATTTTTATGTTTTTTTTTAATATTTTGACTATTTATATATTACTTATTTCTTTATACACAAATTTAAAACTAATTGTACAATGGCGGACTTAATTCTGCACACTAAGTGTTATAGATACAAGATAAAAGCTATGCTATTACTCAATAGGGAATTGCGTGGAAGATAAAAACGCTCCGGCTTAGATTATTGATTAGATTATTGTTCAAATACTTAATGGAATTATAGTGTAAGATAACATGTTTACTTCCAAATTTCACTTTTTTTTTTATTTTTATTTGTTTTTGCCCTAATGCGTCGTAATAATGATTTATAAACAGTAATTTTAAATTCCTAAATTTTCCATTATTAAAGTTGGTATTTTTTCTTTAATTCAGAATGGGACCAAACGGAAAATATATCCTGAAAAACAAAAAGAACAAAGACAAAATCGGTTCGTAAATAATGGAGTTCTGAGAAACCAATAAATTGAACCAAATAGAGAACCTCCTCCTTTTTTCCTGCTGAAAGTCAGTTAATGTTCTTGTTTAAAGCATTAGTCGAAACATTATTGCCATATAATTTCTATTTGAGAAGTAATTAAGTATTTTTAATTATGATTTTATATGTCATTTGCTACCTTAATGCCGCAATAAGCACAAACGTCACATTCGCAAAAGTACTCTCTAACACAAAAAACGCACTAATGGGCGAGCAATTTTGGAGACTAGAGGACATAAAATAAACAAAAATTGCTTGCTTAATAACCTTAAGATGTAACAGCATACATAGGTAGGTGTATACATGCAGTGCTGTGAATAAATTACACATAATCGTAATTTTCACTGTGTAATATTTGGCTCTTTGGGAGTGCTGGTTGGTACGCTCTGTTGCGTCGCGTCCGTGCATCGCGATGTCTAGTGATGAGCTACAGTGTCGATAATAAATATCGCTATGTTTTTTTTATCGCAAAGAGCTTTATAAAATAGTTCACATATTATATTGGGTGATTTAACTATTCACAGGAGACACAGTTTTGAATCTTTTACCCTTTTTGTGATTTTTACACAGTAATTTTTGAAAAAAGGAAAATGATTTTCAAGTGAAAACTTCTTTAGGCGCGTTGGGCATTTTTGAACAACAAATACAAGAAGTTATGGTTTGAGACAGGAAAAAACGATTGAACTCGAGATACTGTTACCGTTACCGACACCTTTGTATATAATTATCTACATTTACCACTATAAGTAGATACTTATGTACACCCTTATATATACCAAGCACCCACACACACATATATACCGCTTACACGAAAGTTTGGGTTGAAATACATTGATAATATAACTATTTATAATACAAATATTTTGTACATATATGTATATTCATGTCGGCACTTTTCGAATCGAAAAACCTAAAATTCTGCCTGTTATAATCAAGTTTTTTTTTTAATTTTTGCACACATTATTTTTCAGGCTTTATTATTATATATTATACGTATTTTTCAGTATACCAATCTTGAATATTGTTTTTAATTTTTTATTTTGGACATCTAACACCCAAGGCCATTTAGTTTCAAACTAAGCAGAGCTTGTACTATGAAAGCTAGATTGACTGATAGAATACTTATTTACTTTTTTTTGTAAATACACACATATTATACATAGAAAACACTCAAACTCCGAAACAAGTATTTGCAGATCATAGAAAGAATTGGTCCGACCCCTGAATCGAACCTGAGACCTCAGCACAGCTGTCGCATATGCTACCTACTGTACCAACGAGGCAGTTCATTAGAGTCATATCACTTTAAACAGATCCAAATATAAATTTCTAAATTAAAATACGATTGTAAAAGACCAAGATTTTAGCAAACTGATACAATTCAGCTAAATTATGAAAACGGGTGGCTGATATGTAAAAAAATCTCATCTTAATGATAGTGCTTTCATGATTTGTTTGGGTAACTTATTCTAATGAGTTATCAGATACTGTGTACTGAAGTTAGACTGAATTTATAAAATAACATCTATTAGAAACAAAAAGATACAACTTACAGGTTTTTCAAGAAATAATACTTACCATAACAATTTAAATGTGCAGTGAAAATTAATCTATAAAAAAAGGAACTCAAATTTAACCTAGGCCACTAAGATCGCGAACTAGAATTATTTAAAAAAAAAATTGTTATCCTGTAAAATATTGATTTCTTTCTTGTATCACTTATTTAAGAATAATAAATAATAATTTGGCAGACTAGGACTTTTAAGCTCAGTCATACAAAATAGTCACGAATGTAATAAACGTGGTAATGTTTTTGCATACTTGTATTATCTAGATTATGATAATATTTTAGTATTTTTAATCTAAGAACATAGTTTTAATATTTTTGTTGATGATTTATATATAATCTTTGTTATACTGAAGCTAAATTCATAACATAGCAGCTTTTTTAGAACAAAAATACAGTGTAGAAAAGCAAACAGGCTAAAAAGCGTATGAATGTAGGATGTAAAATGGTAAGCTATAGTGAATTATTTAAAACTAAGGAAACCTGTATGCTGTCATCTTAAACCTGTGAAGGAACGGCAGTCATGTCCCTCCAACACAAATTGAGGATGCAAGCGACCAGGCAAGGTAATCATGCCTTACAGGCCGCGACCTGATCATGCCTGGCGGGCCGCAGCAAAATGGTTCTTGTTGAGAGCGTTTCTCGTGGTTCTTGTTGGGAAATTGTATTTATGCTCATCGGAGGAAAATTATTTATAATAACGATACAGGATTAGCAATTACTCCGTAGTTCTTTGTACCTACGTAAGATGGCGCTGTATTATGTTTCTTTGTTTCAATATGTGTGGAAGTCACCACATCCCTACTCTCCAAGTATATCAAACCAAGTCTAGTAGTCACTCACACACTGTCTATACCTCAAAAACATACACACAGCGATTCCCTGTTTTTTTTATCAGGTAAATATATTGACAGTTCTATATTAATGCTCATGCTTAAGCTGCACGGATGGCATAGTGGTTTAAGCTGTCACCTCGCCGCGTCCTGCGCTGAGATTCAATTATTTATTAATTAATTATTGTGGATTCAACCCCCACATGGGACAACACTTTGTGTGATCCACAAAATTGTTATTCTGAGTCTGGGTGTCCTTTGTGTTCGTTTCATATATTTTTGTAAAGTCCCCCGCGACACAGGATTTATTCCTAGTGCGGGAATTGTCATTTTAAAAGAAAGAATCATTCATAAGTTCCATGATAAAGGGATTCTACAGTATCCCTACACTTCTTGCTTGGAGCATAGAAACACACTATACTAATATAATATAAATGAGAAAAAAGAACGTGTAAAATAAAAGTAATTTTAACCTGTATTTATTGTATGTAGTTATGTATGAACAGACTTTGGCCTTTTTAAACAATCAAGTGAAATGAATTAAACATCTTATAGGTAATTATAACATAAGTAAATTTATTTATTGGAAAAATCTTGGGTTTTACGTTTGGAAGTTTTAGAGCTTTTCATATGATTAACTACAATTATTATGGGATAAATACAAAAATACAAAACTCTCACTACACCATTTTTTATTTCCCGATGACTTTAGCACTACATGTAACAAATAGTAACAAAAGAAACGCTAAACATTACATAAGCTAATAAACTCTTGATAAAATCTAAAGACATAATGTCTAATGGCTTGTATCGACATTCGATAGTTAAACGAAAGCCCCCACCCCATCACTAAAAGGAAAACACATTAACGTACAACAAAGAATCCGTCACATTTTCAAGCGCGGACACAGCGGACAAGCGCGTTTTACAAACAGTAGTGATGTGACGTGAATCATGTCTAGTGAGGGCTCGGTCACGTCCACGGCCTCCCGAATACGTCAGTTCGGGTTGTACAGGACTATTGACGCGAGGACCGACGAGTTTCTAAGGTCATCCAGACGAAGGCAAATAAGACAAGGATGCGCCTGCGCAGCTATTTCTACGGCGATTACGGTTACCGTTGTTGTTGTGAGTTTTATTTTGTGTTCTTTTATTATATATTTTTTGTATATTGGGTTTTCGTGTCTCGAATATTTTAAGACAGAATATTGTTATATTTATTTTACTGTTTACTCAGCAATATTCAGTCTTTGTATTTGTTATGTTTATTTTTATCAATTAATTATTGTGTCTTAGATGTATTAATACGGTAATAAGTAGTAATTATGTTATGTGTAATTGATTGTGCTGTTACGTAAATATTCATTTGCACTCATCAAAATCAATTTTAAATTTTATGAATTGCCATAAAAAAAAAACAAACCTTTTATCTAAGGAGAGGCCTATGTCCAGCAGTGCACTATTAAAGGCTGTAGATGACCATCAATTGCCATCTTTAAATTATTTAATGCACTGTGGTTCGAATTCCTTTTAAAGGAGAACGGCAGACCCTGTACCCCTAGTAATATATGATGGATGGTTATAAAATTTGTACCGTTTATAAAGTGAATCATCCTAACTATTTTCATGTAATTATCATATTTTTAGAACTTTGCTAAAAGTAAATAAATTCTTCTCAAAGAATCGTTACATCTGTAATAACTATACGTTCAGGTGCTGTTAACAAAACGCATTCCTACGTTTTCTAAACTTACTATGCATAAACATAAATAACGATATGTTTACATTGAGATCAATCAATGAGTTCACTAATGTATTTAGCATTTAAAAACACATATGCCTTTATTAATAATGTTGACTGTACAGATTAGACGAAGTAATAAAAGAATGATTATTTAAAATCAATTAATTTAAGGTAAGATACTGATAAAAAAAAAATCAAACCGATTAGGTTAAGTGAATACAAAAAGTAATTAAACTGATTTGACAGGACATGACTTTGTTAACAGAAAAAAAAGAAATAAGCGTGTGATTTTAAAAGATCTATGTTAACTTGTTGACAGTAATGATAACTCATTTGTGACAACCAGCTGTCATTGGTATCGATATCAGTACAGCTAATATGCAAACAACAAACTGTAATAACTTTTGAACGCAAAGTTCTAAAAATCTGGTAATTGTTGATGATATTACCAGCCAAATTAATACAAAAATAATCCCTACCATGAGATATGCAAAGTGGTACAAAAGTCCCATACAAGCCTGCCCTTGTCCTTCAACGAAACCTCTAAACAGCTCGAGAAAATTTTAAACAACTACAACAACTTCAAACAATTAGTTTTGTAGACAAAGATTTTCTAATTTTTCTTTTGTAATGGCTAACAATTGCACTTGCGACGAGAACTTTGAAACTGGGCTAATAAACAAATGATAAAGATGTTTCGTATTTAAATAATGATTTATTAAATAATAAAAAAAAACTGTAAATTTCGCGTTTTATTACTTAACATATTCTTACGGATGGAAAACCTTTTAAGTAGTCATGTCAGCATCAAACCGAATAAAACCTCATAGATATCAATTACGTTATATTATTACACACATACAACATATTATATTATTGAAAAAAAATCTTATAATCAATGTTATGTTCCTAATTAAATTATTTATTTTCGTCGGTGCTAAAGAAATCTTTTTTCCTTATTCATCTCAGCAATTATTTCTTTTCTTTTAAAAAAGACAACTCCCGCATTAGGAATATATATATCCTGTGTCGCGCGGGACTTTACAAACATACATGAAACGGACACAAACGAACACCAGACTCAGAACAACAATTTGTGGATCACACAAAGTGTCGTCCCATGTGGGGTTTGAACCGCTTAAACCACTACGCCATCCGTGCAGTCTTACTTTCACACTTATTGGCTATTAGTGCTATCAGGCCTAATTCATTCACGACTATTTGCGCCTCTTTTTATTTCTAAAACCTATTTTTAATCATACTATGACACAGTGAAATGCCTGAGACATTAGGTATAAAAGGTATAACTGTTTTCTCTTCCACAGATTTCCTTAATAGCATTCAAGTTGTACATGCAACATACTATCAGAGTAATTTCCGACTTAAACTTTTTTCATTGGCTTGAAACATTGTTGTTTGTGGTCTGTCGAAACATTTAACACAATACGTTCTATAGGAATATGCCTTTTACTTCCTTGTTGTAAAAGAAATACATAAAGAGTTTCAAAATAGTTTGACTTTCGCTTTGATTTGTGAGTCTTCGACAAATTAATTGTTACACATATACGCAGTGGTGCGTGATCAATATTGGTAGTAGTTGTTCAGTGTTAAAACTCATCAGCAATTTATCTGTTTATTTAAACATCATCATCATCAACAGTCTTTAACAGTCCACTGCTGGACATAGGCCTCTCCTTAGAAAGGAGTTTTTGGCCTACTATACCACGCTAACCATGCGGGTTGGTATAAGGTTTGTTTTGAGTTTTCCTTCTCTTTGCAGTGCTGTTGTCCTGCGTAGTTTGTTCTCTTAGTCGTCTCTTACGACACCCACGGGATGAATAGGGGTGGCGACACTCCGTATTCTTAATCCGTCACCACACGGATTCTTTTATACAATTAAAACACATCATTCTTACTGCATTAGTTAACATTATGAAGTCATAAATATTCTTAAAATGAAATTATTGGCTGTTAAAGTTTAGTCTAAATCATATAAAATTCTTTGCAAATTGCTTTGTAATTGTACTAAAGCAAAAATCACATACTGATTCTAGATAGGAACAATCACTAATTGACAGTAAAATGATACCTAATTATTATAAAGATAATAAATTTCTCCTCATGTTAGTAAACCATTCTACAAGGATTTAATGACGATAAGAGGATATTCTCAGTCGGTATGACTTAAAAGCGTATTGCAAAAATTTTATGAGGCATTTATCACATCAACAGAATGTTTGGGGATACAATATATTTATTTTTTTAATCATTATGGGATATCTAATATATGTTAATTTCAATTCGCTGTCTTAAATTACTTTTTACTAAAACACTAACCTACAATACATCTCTTGAGACGAGTTGAACATCAATGTTTTTGTTTGTAAATATTTAGATTGCAAACATCAAATTAGAGAGCAAAACAATAGAATACAAGAAATAATATGTGTTCGCAACTCGTATTATTGCTACCGATATAAATAAAACTGGTTCATACATTTTTGAATTGTAATTTTTGTCAAATTATATCTTTCATCTTGGATTCTATTTTTTGATTTAATCAGATCAAATAGATCAACATTTTTTTTAAATAGTGAGAACCTTAAGTCAAAACGTTGATAAAAAATTGGGAAACAACATGTTTTCGTAGTTTGGAAACGTTATTGCGGAGAGAAAAGCAAAATGTCGTGAAGAAAGAGGATGATCGAACAAAAGATGGATGGACTACGAAGGGATATGTATAGAAAGGAAATTAGTTGTAAAATGATGAATGATAGAAAAGAATAGAAGAAGAAAGCTCATGGCAAGACGATGACTATTACGATAATAGACATGTTTTAAAGTTTTTAGAATCAATATTTTATTTGTCCATTGCAAAACTACAAATGTTATGTAAATTTAAACATTTTTGTGATTTTAAATAGTGCCACTGTCTCTAAAATTCTATTATTCTGATGTCAGACACATCCACAATTTCCAAACACGATGCACTTGTAAACATAATTGTACTGTTGGTTTTTCTACGAGTTATTATTTTGTAAACACTTTTGTAAAAACTAATGACACACAGCGTCATTTGGTACACACAGCGTATTATTACACTTCCTTTTAATTGTCCACGCATTCTTTTTTAGAGTCGACTTAGACAACTAGTAAAATTCTTGCCTTATGAAAAAAATGTTTATGTCTACTTATTTCATTTGGCCGTGGTTTGATTCTGTGTAAAAAGGAGGTACCGTTGATGAGCCAACATTTGTTTTGTTCGGTTAGTAGTTTAGTGTTTACATTTTACCACACCACCCTATTGCAATCCCTGGTAGTAGTGAGTGGCCATTTTGTGTTCTTAAAATAGTAAAATTCGTCCAGCATAGCCATGCTGTAAAATGTATAGACACAAATGAGATATGTTATTTTATTGTTCACTTTTATTAAGAGTGACATAATTTCATTCATTCATTCATCTTAACTGGTAAAAGTGTTACTACTACTACTACTGTAACTGTAAAAGGCTAGTGTACAGTAGGCTGGGGCTACCTGACGCTGGCAAAGAAATCAAGTAAATCGAGGTCAGGTAAACGGCAAATTCGCAGAAACAATGATAAGAGATTTTGCAAATCTTGGATTTAAAATTGGAATGAGACTGCAGACAGCAGCAGAAGATTTTGCACTTGTTTGTCTGTCCTATGATTGGATATGCCATAGGATGGAAAACTTTAGATCATATTTTCTATTACATACATTCCGGTAATCAGAACTTAAAAAGTCCTTACAAGGGTGTAAGAACTCATTTGATTATCAAAGAAATACGAGATAGATCAGCGCTGTCCAACAGCATTAATTTTATATTGAATGTTAATACTAGTTTCCATCTACCACAACTAATTGAGGAGCATATAATCATAAATGTAAGAGCTCGTTTCAATATAGCACGACTCTACAATTTCTCTACATTGTCACCATTCTTGGAAGTTAGCTAAAATTAGACGCCTCAACTGTAGCATGCAAATTAGTATGTTTCACTATAACACACAAGATGTTTAGCACAATGTAGTTGAACACATTGAGTATGATGTGCATACTTTCTGCTTTCTTCGTTGCGCCTGGGCACTGATCACCCACCGTGACGTCAGCATCGCAGTATTTAAGTGAAAGGTTTTTTTGTGTTGATTCTATTAAGAATTATTGAAAATCGTTCAGCAAATGATTGGCAGCTAAAAAATTAATAAAGACCTCTTTCTTAGCGTTCCATGGATTCACCGTACGGCTGCTGGGTCCATCGCGTGATTAATGGGGACAACACATGCGACTTCAACGGCGCATGGGAATTGCGATCCACTGCTGAGTTACCCCCTCTACCTAACCATATTTGAGACGAGTCTAGCAATGCCGCTTTATATATTCGTTCAAGAAAAGATCTTACTAAAGCTCTTGGCAATCCAAGTTCTTTAAGCAGATTATAGAGGGATTAAGTTGGTATATCCCTCGCACCCACATTCACGGCATACAACGCAACGACATAAGCATTTTCAGTTATTTCGTTAGTTAAGTCAAAGTACTTGTTTCTTTTTAAAGCGTGGTCTTTAGGGATGTTCATTTCCCACGGCACTGCGACTTCTTCTAGTACTATACGCTTAGTTCAAATTGCATAAAGAAATACATATATCTGGTCTGGACGCCGAGGCACAGATATCCTTCGGTATTCTGTAATGATAATAATAAATAAAATAAACGTAAATATTTTATTATAGGAGCTTTTGAACTTAAATAGTATAAGATACCTTCGATTTGCCTGACGATTTGATCAGGTTCATATATATATGTATATAAATATCTATAACCATTAACTAAATGCATTCATCATTGTTTCGGAGTTTCTTAACAGAGTGAGTCTTATTATAGGTAAGCCGGCTTCATCTATTTGTAAAGTCCGACTTGTGAAAATATCTGAAAAGATTTACTTATAGAAATAAATATCACTTCATTTCATCTCCGTGTAAATACATAAATATAACACGCAGTTAATCCAAAAAACTTGCCTCAATAGATATTATTGAGAAAATATAATTATGATATTACTATTTTTGTTAATAAATATGAGACCAACACCAATTAATACCTATACTTTTTCGTTTTAATCAACTGTGTAACTTATTATTATGTACTGACAATTAAAAATATTATTTTAACCATGTGCAATCTTAAAAAAATAGGTTTTCATTATAATTTTAATTTTTAATTCGAAAGTCAAATATTTATTGCTTAAAAATGCTACACAAAAAAAAACTGCTGAAGAATATGTAATAAGACAAAAACAAATTACTTAACACAAAATTCTTTTTTTTAAACGGTTAAAATTTATGGGTAATCATTCAAAACTTTTCAAACAAGAAGGATTAAAAAAAAAATGACATCTTTGTGCAGTAGTAAATAAATTTGTAGTTTTGTGTTTAATATTATTTATTTTGTTTGGTATGTAATATGGATGTTCAATGTGTTAATCGTTTTGCTAACAATATCTGCATCTGTGTACTTTCTTATGAACTATTACTAAATCTATCGTTTATTCAAAAGGGTAAGTGATATACCATAACTCAAACCAAAATCTGTGTTTAAATTAATCATAACATATATTATATTATTTAATACTATCAGTCACAATTTCAATACTTTCCAAATAATACAGAAACAGTTCTTAAATGTACCTAATAATATTTTTTTTCTATTTTCAGAGTGTCATATTGGTGTATGAATATAGTATAAACTCAGAGTCAAATGTAAATAAAAAATTAACAGTAAAACCAAATTGGCTCGGTTTGATGAACGAGAGCGACACAACACAGTCGGACATGAAATTCGAAAAGAAAATAAATTTCGATAGAACAACCCTAAAACTATTGCCAATATTAATAAAAGCCTTGAACAAAAACAGATATTTAGAGAAAATAATTGAGGACTATTCAAGTTCAAGTCCACCTTATGAAGAAGGAAATGAAACAGAAAACTATTTTCAAAGGAATGTATTTTCTAATTCGAAAAATTGGCTAAAAATGCCATCATCAAAAGGGTATACTATTGATCATAAAAGTTCACCGTCATTATATACAAGACGGCCTACTGTATATTCAGATTATCTAAGTAGAATAAGAAAGCTTAGAAATTATAAGAGGATGTTAAATAACTTTGATAAAGTGACAAGTGAAAGAACAAGTTATCCTAAACCTAGTCAAACACCAAAGACTATCTTTGCTTATACCTCAAAGCCTTTGAAAAGTGTAACTCATCGCATGAAACCAAATAAGACTAAACCAGTTAAATCCACTATGAAGAATAAGTCTAATGGTGTTAAAATTAGTGACGTAATGGTAGAAAATTTATCCAACAAAGGTAAAAATGTGAGTAAACCGGTGCCAACATTTCCAGAAATAGAAAATAAAAAGCTAAATAAGCATAAAGGCTATTGCAAATGCCCAAGAGATATGGGAATATTACTGAATAAATTGATACAGAGTATAAAAGAGATGATTCCAACAATGACCAATAAAAACCAAAGTTATAGCTCCTGTCCAAATAAAGAAAAAAAGGAAAGAAATAAAAAAAAATCTATAAAAAAGTCAAGGATACATGAAGATATAACAATATCAACTACGCAGCAAGCTATTACAAAATCTACAACTTTAAAAATCATAATAAAACCGATGATACCAGTTGCTATGAGAGAAGGAGTCTATGATACTATAACAGAACCAGTAAACGTAAAAAATATAACAACTCCACATACACAAATAGACATAATAGATCTACCTGCTTTCAAATTTGATCATGATATTACTACAGAACTTACTACAATTTCTTCACTCAATACTTCAACGTCCGAAAGTATTACTTATGCAACTGCTAGTAATCTTGATAAAAAATATCCTACTGGAATAGCAAACAATCATAATGTTTACATTAACACTATACAAGCGCACAAAAATATTTTAGAACAAATACCAATGTATGGAACTTACGACCTTAAAGATTTGAACTATGAAATCAGCACTAGTGATGCAGAAGACAAATCGATCTCTAATAATATTAATAAGAAATCAAGTACCACCACAGAGTTGATTATGCCATTAAAATTAAATTCTCATTCTAACGAAGGCTCACTTAGTTCAGAGCATTTCCTCGATTCAGTAGCCGTAGTGTCTAACTACAAGCACCCAATAAGACCTTTGTTAAATGATAAAGAATATGAGGACTATCTTACTACACAGGGAACACCCAATGATTTTGATGATTTGGATGTACACAGTTTTGAATTGGTGAAAACAAAAAATGTTATATCATCTCCAACTAAATATGAACGAAATAGGTTCAGAAATAATATGAAGAAAGTACCAATAACCTCAAGAAATTACCACCCAGTTGCAAAATCTAAGGACACAGATCAAATAAATATGAGAAAAATGGCTGATCTTATCAACATTCCAAAAACAATGATAGATCAAGAAAACGCACGCAGATTATCACTAGTTTATGAAGATGAAAGCTTTGGCAACACGAATTTTATAACAAGAAATGACGAAGAAACAGGGCTATTGAAAAATATCATTAAGATATCGAAATCTGAAACACTTTCTAAAATATCTCATCAACCACTATCCAAAACTGAATCTACGCTCTTACAGGCACCTGATGGCGATCAAAATAATGAAAATACAAATGAAGATGAATTCCAAGAAGAGTGGACCAAAAATACTGAAGTTACAGAAAGTAGTATTAAGTATAATAAGTCGATTTTTGATGATGAACCACAAACATCTCAAAACAACTATGAAAGTAAATCTCATGATAAAATTAACTCTGTAAAGTCAATGCTGCCTGCAATACGGCCAGTTTACCTAGAGATACGACGAAGTAATGATTGGAAAACTGAGGACCACACTGATTACGATGTAAACCTGGGCAACAATATTTTTGATTTACCAGATATTTAAAATTTTATTGTACTTTTATTTCTGTACAGACACAAATATAAGTATTCGTAAAATGCTACTGTCGTAAGTTATTATTTTGTAAGACATGTATTTTTAACCTTATAAAACATACGTACTTTAACTAGTATACATATTATATAATACTATAGTTTAATAATAATTTACTTTGGTTTAATGTGATTGGACCTATAAGAATAACAAAATTAATGGTATTTCTTCTATATTTTCAGGTAATTCTACTTATCTACGAATACACAATTGCTGTAGAGTGGACCTTAGTACAAAATAAGAACGATATAGTTACAGAATCTGAGATTTTTAAAAATCAGCCCATTGCAGACAGACTAGACCGAACTGACTTTGGATTCGACCAAGAATATTTTGAAAAGATGCCACTACTAATTAATGCATTACAAGAAAATAATTATATAGATCCAACATTAGAAATGACTGATCTTCTTGGTAAAAAAAAACATATATTTGCAACTGTATTAAAAACAACAACTAAACCAACTTTGAAAACCAGTGCTACGAGAAGAACGATCCCCAGACCTTTTTACTTCAAATACAGATATCCTACTCCATTACCATTTAGTAAAACTTATGGTTCGAGGTCATGGGTAGAAAGATATCGCAATGAAGAAAGGTTAAAAAATATTCGTCAAATTATTAAATATTTAGAGAATAGTATTCACGCAAAAGTGGGAGATATGCATGCTAAGTCCACAGAACAGCATGTAGATTTTACAGGGCTTTCTACAGAATCTATGCCCGAGACTAATAATGAAGAGTCAAATAAGTCAGATTTGGTGCCAGCCAGTTCAGATATAAAAAAACGTTATTTGAATCATCTAGCAGATCCACTCTTCAATTTCAAACCTGAAAATCCAGGAGACGTGAATCTGTTAGCTGACAAGTTTTTAAGATTTGCTCCTGTAGCGACTCCGGACATTACTAGCAAAACTAATGAATATCCCATGTTCCGGCAGATTCCGTTGAAAAATAGGAATTGTCATGGTAACAAATGCGAAGAAATTATAGAAGGTAACAATAAATTATTTCCACGTTCCACTATCATAAATCAGACCGAGACACCACCTCTTAGTACTACCAAATCATTTAGTGTCATGCTGAATTTGTTTCCAATAAAATCTAAAAGTGGAAATTTAAATCAGGATATACTAACAACTACCCAAACTTTAGATAAAATATATCTTACGACTTCTCGTCCGTTGCTACAATTTAAAAGAAAATCAAATGTGTCTATCAGACGTATTTACACTCCATATAAAAGACCAAGATATTTAAGTGATTTAATAAATAAAGATTCAAAATCAAATAAAACTAAAGAAACTGTTACGCCAGGCACCCAAATGATATTTGATGTAAAAGCGTATAATGAACATCAAGTGAAAAATGAAATCAGTGAGAAAACTTCTACTATAAGTATACCTTTAATGCAGACAAATCCATATACAACAAGAGCTCCTATAGAATTTTCAACTTCACAAATTGAAGACTACCATGTAGGCAGTTCAGGTTATATACCAGTGCCAAACAAAACAGACAAGTCTCTTCCTAAGATAACTACAATGCTTAACTTTTTTGATACAACAACTGAATATTCGAACACCGCAAGGACACAAACTAGTTCAGCATTTAAATTTAACATACAAGATGCAAAAGTGCCCAATCATTACCTTAACTTAAACACAAAAGTTAATAAAGGAAACATAAATAGAAGAAACTCTATGGGGTTTATTGACCACGAAGAGTTGTTTAAACAAATCAATGAAAATCTTAAACTGAATGGCATTAATTTAAGTAACCCTATTGATACAAACGTTGAAAATAACACACTAATAGTAAAACTCAAGAACAATTACACTAATAATGTAGCGGAGTCCACAGAAGCAAACACAGAAGAAATAACAACATCTGTTAATACTTATGTTCCTCACATAAATGGACATTACAGAAGCATTAATCAAAATTCAAGAAACGTTAATGAATGGCTAAATGACGAGCCAGAAAAGGACAGGAAAAATCGTTTGCAAAATGTGGTATCAGATATTCGTCCTTACGTTCCCATGTATGTCGAAATTATAAGAAACAATACTAAGACATCAAACATTGGAGATACCGTTACTACTACACAAGAAACAAGAAAAGTAATCAGTACTGGACCTACAGGACCTACATAAAACTGGAACTTATGTCAGACAGTGATTGCTATATTTATTATTTAATTTTTAATGGCCCACCGACTTTTTATACTATATAGTTTATTCTTTTGTGCTTAATTAAATTACGTTGGCACATTGTAAATAAAGATATTGAAGATTGTCAATTTGTATCATATTTATTAGAATTCAAATGGACACCGTCTGAAGAGAAAATAAACTTACATATTCCATCTGTTTGGATCATTCATATTATAACCTAAGTAGTCATTATTCGTATGTACTCGTATTAACGAGTGTGGTGACGTATTAAGAATACGCAATGTCACCACCCCTCTTCATCCCGTGGGTGTCGTAAAAATCGACTAAGGGAGAAAACTACGCAAGACAACAGCACTGAAAAGCGAAGGAAAACTTGAAACAAACCCTATACCAATCCGTCTGGCCAGCGTGGTAAAGTCCAAAACCTCCTTTCAGAGGAGAGGCCTATGTCCAGCAGTGGATTATCATAGGCTGTTGATGTGTGATGTGTGCGTCATTATTCATGTTATTATGGCGGTATTGTTTGTATGAATTGAAAATAACATTAATAAAAATGTCAGGGCATAAACCCTCTAGGGATTTCCTCACTAGAGTACTCATGGTTCCAAAGCTACTGGTACCCGAGACAGCGCGGCGAGTGGTTTTTAGACGGTTCGAGTCCAACACAACATCCACATTTGAGGGTGGTATTCGAAGGGATTGCTGGACAGGGAAAAAAAGTATATAAGCCCTAAGGCTTTTAAGTCTTAGTGGTCTAAGTACTGCAAAGCGTGAAGTTGTCATAATTTCAAGTATTGGCCCAAGAGTTAACTTTTTTCATTTAAACTAAAATTTTTCGTAATCTTCACAAGCATGTTAGTATGATGTTTTTAAGATTGCAAATGATATATTAATTATTATTTACGTACCTAATTACTTAGACACATGACTATGCAGATTGAAGTAAAACAATATGTGTGCTTTAATTATGACAATATCTTTTCTGCTTATCTACATAATTGGCTGTAAAGTGTAGATAATGCTTTGAATAATTGTGAATTTACGAATGAATTATTTTTTACGTATCTACTTACTTTTTAAAGTACAGCAAAAGAAGTTATAAGGCCTCTGTCGTAAGGATTGAAACGAATAGATAACAAAAAACTTTAAAAAAAATAATGAGCTCATCTTGGGTTAACGCACTTTTCGAATTACATTTTGAAATAAATATGAATAGATAAATAAAATGTGTGTTGAGTGGTAGTTGATAATACTCAAACACAACAGAAAACAGTTTATAAAATAAAAATAAATGTATTAACGAGGTCTTATTACTAGTTGAAATATCTTACAGATATTTGCGAAAGTAGAGTACCTGGTGTACTCTACCTTTGCAAATACCTAGCACGCTTTTAAGAACTAGCAGGCGCATAGTAGGGGTGAAAGTATAAAATTGCCGATTTGTACTGAATAATTGAAACTCGTTTTTTTTAAGATGTAACATATTTATTTAATCAAAATATTTAGCCTCTTTATCTTTACATTGCTGCCATCTAAACGGAAGTTCATTTATTCCATTACGATAGAACTCTCTGGATCTAGATTCGATGAACTGTGTGACAGCGTTTTGTACTGCCTCCGGGAAATATTTCTGTTAATCACGTAGAAAATTGTTCAAATCACGAAAAAAATGGCAGTCCGTTGGCAAAGCAAGGCCTGCCTATTACGGAGGATGATGTAATGGTTTCTAACTGCAGCTCCTGTAAAGTTACAACGATTTCTCGTGCAGTGTGAGGTCTTGCCATATCATAGAGCAATAATGGTGAAGATCGAATTACAAGTCGGGGCTGTTTCACTGCCAGTTTTGGCATCATTGTTCGAAGTTTGGCATTTTCTGCTGTTTTTGCCTGACCAAACCTAAGAAAGTTATAGTGAATAACACCACAAAAAGACCACCAAACAGTTACCCTTACCTTTTTATTAGTAAACTTTGCTTTAGGGCATTGTTGCGGCGTTTGAGCTTTTTCGCTTACGGTTTTCGTAAACAATCCACTTTTCATCACATGTCACAATTCGATACAATATTCGTTTATTTCTGACCGATTCAACAAGACAACACAAGTTTCAACACGAATCTCTTTCTGCAGATTAGTCAAATTATGAGGCACCCATTTTTCATCTACCATCTCCTTCAATTCAGCGTTATCCACCTGAGTTGGCGGTCTTCCACGTGGTTCGTTCTTCCAGTCGAAGTCATCTTTGAAGATGCTTTAAGATAGTCATTTTTCATAGTAGATTTAAAGTTATCTGTGTAGAATTATATCCTAACAACGAATTTGAATGACTAACAGTAAAAGTAAAATATTTCAAATATTGGAATCGTCGTCACACTAGAGAGGATGTGCTGGGGGAAACCTGCTTTCTCCCGCAGGGGTGAATGGAGAGATTGTTTATAGGTTTAGAAATGAACAAATACTGCGTATTGCAAAAAATGTACTAGACGCTAATATGTAGTCTAATGAACCATTTTCCACCCTATTAACTCAAAAGAAGGTACTACTCTACTGTGATACCTGTGCATTATAGTACCTTCTCGAAGTCTTTGATCATTCCTATGTTAATATTCTAGTCAAGTAGCTAATTTTAAAGTTCTGGTAATAAATTCTCAGAAAGCTGTTTAAGGTCTTTGCGTATTGTATTGTTACAGGAGCTATTGCTGCACTATTATTATAGACCTTAAGTTTAATTTGAAAAATGTTTGAGTTGTCTGCTTTCTGAAGTGTGAGTTTCATTTTCGAACCAAGGGTCTCCTCCTTGGGGGACTTGTATCTGTATTCCTATACGTCCATCTCCGAAATTGAATCTTGATGATGTTTATTCGCTCTTTTCTGAGTAATCTTAATTTTACTGTTCTAAAAAACTGTCCGCAATATAGCAATATTATGTACAAACATTACGATGTAAAGTGTTATGTATGAAGGACCTTTGGGTGAACGCTGTTGCGCAATGTGACTTAACATGTACGACTGCTCGTAAAGATCTTGGATCCTGGCTTGCACCATTCCCTAGAGTTCTGTGGCTTAGTCCACTCACTGGAAGGCTCCTCTGGTCCATCAGGACTTGATCGCCGTGTATTTACTCGATTATACTAATAAATTGATAAATTATTCCTCTCATGAGCCACCATGTTACTTATTTTAGTCTTTAGCTAAGAGCTATCATAAATGAAAACCCGAAAAAAACGTTATTTCAAATTTATACGTTAGAATATAGATCTTTACAGTTCAACGGTTTTGAGGCGAGTGTGTATGTACTACACAATTTGAAACAATCATCAAAACGCCTGTGAAATGGATTATTGCACTGTCTCGTACAATGATTTGTATGAATTGTGCAGATTTGCGCAGGCGCTTGCAGTTGCGCCGGTACAGTTCGTCCAGTTCCCAAAAGCAAAATACAAATTTGTAATTGCATAAAATGAAATACCTTTATGTAATACAACTATGATTAGGCCACTTTGAGATTTTTACATTTACTTACTAAGCATACCAGTAACAAAATTAGCAGAACGCCGATAAACTTATTTATATATTTCTAAATACATAAATATTGTAAAAAATACATCCAGACACATAAAAATGGTCGAGCTGTTTTTTTTTAAGTAGAATATTTCCTGTGTCGCAGGGGACTTTACAAACATTCATGTAATGGACACAAAGAACACCTTGATTAAGAACAACGGTTTGAAGATCACACAAAGTTTTGTTCCATATGGGGATCGAACCGACGAGCAGCAGGCAGTGGCGAGGCGACCGCATAAACCACTACGCCATCCATGCAGTAATTTGTCTGCATTGAGAATCGAACCCTGCTCATTGTTGCTTGATGGTCAAATTGTATTTGATTTAATTAATGACACAATTGCGCTATTTCACACACATACTGTCCGTGTGGTGACGGATTAAGAATTCGGAGTGTCGCCACCCATATTCGTGGGTGTCGTAAAAGGCGACTAAGGGAGCAAACTACGCAGGACAACAGCACTGCAAAGAGAAGGAAAACTTGACATAAACCCTATGCCAACCCGTCTGGCCAGCGTGGCATAGTAGGCCAAAACCTCCTTTCTAACGAGAGGCCTATGTCCAGCAGTGGACTATTAAAGGCTGTTGATGATGATGATGATGATGATGACACACATAATTCCTCCTACAGATTGCAGAAGGGTGAGAGGAAAGATGTACATGTTTTTTTTATTGAAATCGGTTCACAAAAGACAAAAATGTTATGTAACATTAACCGTTATATTACGTCCCTAATATTGTCTATCTGCAATCTTCTATTGCTGGGTCTTAATGACTTTAATTCGAATTAAAACACGTTCATCCGCTGTTTCTTTCAATTGGTATAAAATTAACTGTGCCCAATTATATCAATAAAATCGGCTTTAAAGAATCAGTTTTCAAGCTATTTTTGTAGGTCAATGAAAAATCGGTGTTACTAGCACTTATTTACCGATACCATAGCAAACTGATTGGATGTATACCACCGGTTGGTAGTTCTTGTTTAGTTCATATTTTAGAATAGCTAATTTTCGTGTCACTAGGTTTGTCTGCATTCAAACAATTTTTTAAATTTCTCGGGAATACAATGTTTTGTATCCTTGACAAGAAATCCGTAAATTTTCTTAATGATTGATAGTTAAGGCGGAAAAGCTTAATTAGATATCCTAACTTTCCCTATTATAGTTAGGACATAAATTATGCTTCTGATTGTCAGAAACATCATTATTTTTGGGTCATAAACCAACTCTTGCATCTCATCTCCATGACTTAAGAATTGTTTAAGTAATTTTACAATTGGAATGAAAGCAGAATATTAAAGACTCTTGATGTGTCCATGGCAGAGTTCTAAAACATGAAAAAAAAATGAACCGATGTACATAATATATAAATAGATTTTTTTAACCTTCTCCTTTTATTGGAGTCGGTTATTTATTTATT